GACAGTGAGGAGGCCAAGACCATAGTCAATGACGCTAAGCACAAGCCCTTGATAGAGAAGGAAAAGTAGGCGTTGTTCAATATAAGCTGCTGCTAGCACCTTGGGTGCTGTCAGACCCTTCCTGGCTCTAAGTATGACGTTGTCTACGTGGCATTTGTATGACAAGCATCTGTCAAATGTCACGCCCAGGTATTTCATGGTGTCCGTTCTCTCGATGTCCACACCACAGATGCTTACGACTGGCGTTGGTGTACTGACGATGTAAGTATTTAGAGAGAACCATGTTAAGGAGGCTTTTGACGGGTTCACCTGAGCTCTTGATTCCTGGCACCACTCGCTAAGTCTGTCTAGTTCGTGTTGTAGTATGGTTGTAATTTCCTGCTTGTTTTTACCTCGACGGTAAACAAGGATATCATTTGCATACGACATTGTTCTGCCTAGGCCTACGCTTTGTGCACTCGTGACTCCTGCTGTGTACACATTGAAGAGCACAGGCGACAATGGTGATCCCTGGGGCAGACCCATTAGGTCACCTTGAGGTTTGGACAAATCTCCTCAGAATGAATTCGCCTATGTAAAGCTAGAAACTCTAGAACTCAAGCACTCTCTTTTCTTTTTCTTTTTTTCGCTGTCGAATGATTACACAATACAGTTATTTGCGTATCCTTTACAGACGTTGCAGAACCTACCCCAGCATTTTTTATTCTGTGTTTTTTTTTCTAGGTAAATTTTGTCTTAATTAGTTTGTCATTGCCTTCTGCACGGCCTGTCAGCTCCCCAAAACACTGTCGAAATCAACACAATGCGTTCTGGCACCAAATCGCTTGCAGAATGGATTGAACCAGGCACCCCGGCATTACGAATCGCGTTTGCAACACTTTAGCCACAGAAGCAGACCATTACACAATAGCCGATACAACTGTGTGTCCTTAATCAGTTAAAGCGTCGGTAGTCATGTGTATCCACAACCTTCTGTCTCCTGTACTTTCAATCAACTCTGACCTAGTTGATTTTACAATCCATGATGTCAAGCAGTCCAGCGTCTTTTCTCTCGGTCTTCCTCTGCCACTCTTTCCCTCCAACTTTGTTACTGTCACGATGTACCCCAGTTTTCTGTTTCTCATCAAATGACTAAAGAATGTAGATTGTCTCCTTATGATGAGGGCAATCAGTTCTCTTCGGGAGTCGGTTTCTTTCAAGACATCTTGTTTTTGGTTTTTTATCTGTCTTTTTATCTGTCTAGGGTATTCTCATCATTCGCCTGTAAAACCACATCTCAGCAGCTTCCAAATAGGTTTTCACTAATCTACCAACTGTCCATGATTCATTCTTAGACGACAATTAATCCTTAGACGATAGTATGTATAATTATGTGTCATTAACCGATAGCAGAAACAGTGTGGTTTCATTAACAAACAGCCAATACGATTTTGTTTCATTGGCGTCAGTAAACAGTGGCTGGTACAATGCTGTACCATTAACAAAGAGTCGGTAAAATTGTGTATGATTAAAAAATAGCAGGTAAAATGAAGTAGGATTAACCAACAGTCTGTACAATTTTGTATGATTAACCAGTAGCCGGTACAATGATGTACGATTAACCAACAGTCTGTACAATTTTGTATGAGTAACAGATGGTACAATGATGTACGATTAACCAACAGTCTGTACAATTTTGTATGACTAACCAGTAGCCGGCACAATGATGTATCACTAGCCAGCAACCGGTGAAATGTTTGGTAATTAACTTACAACCGGTACAATGCGGTGGTATTAACGAACAGTCGGTGCACTGATGTGGAAATGTGTTCTTCTTTAGCATTCTAACACCTGGGCCGATCAGCTGGCAAAGCTGACACTGTTCTGAACAGTGGAGAATCTTTGCTAGTCGCTGTTTGCCCCAAAGGTTGCGTCCACAGTCTGTCCAAAGCACAGGCGAACACCACGACACTTTGAAGGCTTAAACAACACCAGCGTTCTTTCATCTTCCGCTGATACCTGCTCTGGGAGCGGACCGGGCTCTGTATGAACTATTTAATCAGTAAACTGAAATCTAATAACAGATTCACATTTCATTACAATTTATGAGCCTTCATCATCCATGTTCGTTAACCAGACACTGGATTGGGTCATTGCAAAACTCTTCTGTGTGTGCAATTGGTTACCTCTATATTTGTCCCAGGGTAGGCAGGTGTTGTTGGCAATGCAAGAGCTGATAGACTGACAGATTTGGCATTAATTACAGATGGCCGGCTCAAGGATCACGCAGACATTGTCAATGCCCTAAGAGAGATAGGACGTTCCGAGGATTTAGGAAGCTACGTGTTCACATCACTGCTAAGAACATGAGAATTTGAAGTAAATATTGGCACAGCCAAGCATGAGAAGCACACACAAAGTCTTGTCAACCAGCAAAGGACTGACACTATTAACTGCGCGATGAATATGTTGAAAAAAAAGGGGGTGGGCGGGGATCTGAGCACCTATGGATGTTTCCAGAGTTCTGTGAAGATAATCCAACACATAACTCATCATCATAAGCAGATCCTTTACACAACATCGGTCCCGGCAGGGCACGCCTAAAAGCTCTTCTTCTCTAGACAGTTTTAGTGCTTTCGTAGCTAGCGCATCTTCAGTGACTTATTCCACATTCTACCTGTGCCTCGCTTTCCGGAAACTGCACCCTGCAAAACCGTTATCACTAGGCCACCGTGACGTTTAACATGGCCAAAATACCTCAGCTTTAGGGACAAGATGCTGTTTATGAGCCAATTTCCCTCTGTGTCTTGATCATGCAGGATACCTATGTTTCTCTTCTCGTGTGTCCACATTATTCAAATACATTGTCTGTAGCTTTTCAGTTCAAAAGCGTCGATTAAATTTTTTTTTCGAAGATTGAGTAAGAGTCAACAACTCACATCTATAAGTTGCCAAGGGAAAGATGCAGGATCTCGAAATATTTGCTCCAAGTAATGATTTGGACTCATTTACGCATGCGGAAAAACTATAAGTCAGAGGTTAGACTAGAAGAAATGGCATTTGAAAACTATGACAAGACACGTTTCTCAGAGTTCTTACTGTACAGAAGTGTTAAGGTTATTTTTGTGATGGACCTTGACACATACGTAATTTTGTGTATTCTTGATTCTAATTGTATCATTGTTTGTTTGTGTCATATGCTGATGAAAGCTTTCTAGCCGCAACGTCCATTTGTCGTTCCTGACTGCGACAATATGAGGTTGAATATTTCTATCTCACGTTAAATGACTTAACACATTCGCTATAGAAACAAGCATAATTATAATCCTACAAGGAGGTGCTGTTATTTTAAGTCAAAATGTTCAAATCGCGATGTGACTACTAAAGCTTTCAATGTGCATATTTTCTTGTATGTTCTCACATCTCAATCCAGTTTCCTCTTCTACACGTGGCAGTAAATTCCTACCAAACTCAGTTTCCTAAACCTTTTCATTGGCCCGGAGAATTTCTTAACAACATCTCGCCGACACTTACCGACATTCATCATCCTTACGCATTCAACGAGAAAACAAATCATTATTTATCTAAACTAAATAATTTCGGAACCATGTTCAAATACGAGTTAATTTTCGAAGTAATACATTCACGATGTTGATCTTGAATTTGGAGCAGAGTTTCGCAAAGTTGTACTCGTGCTAAAGTCTGTTATATTAATTGATTCATAGAAATTATCATCAGTCATGTGTTTGTCATACTCTTATATTTTGTATTTCTTGTCCATTTTTTTAAATCCGAAGGTACGGCAAACATAAATATTTAAAAAAGACATTTTCTTTGTTGTATCCTCTCTGCGTATACCACTCGAAACTGCAAATAGGTTGCTGTTTGCAGACCAATTTATGATTGCAATTTGGTGTAATAATGCGAAACTAATTGAAGCCGAGGGCATGTCTTCAGGAAGCGTTCATATTGGATCTTAATGTAGATTATTAAATCGATACACAGGTGTTTTGTTTAAGATATTCGATACCAGTACACGATTTGTTTAAAGTTGAGTAAATATGTGTTTCAACTTCTCAGCTACTTATTTTTACTGATATTTAAGATAAGAAGCATTTCTGTGATGCAATTTGTTTCAGTTTGTAATATTCTTGCAGGTTAAGGGCCTTTATTACATTTTTGATATTTTGAATTTCTGAAATTCTTTTGATATAGGAAAACGAATAGCATGGAATTTAGACAACAACTGCAGAAAAAATAAATTAAAAAAATAACCAGTTCTTTACCCTTTTTTTTTTTTTTTTGCGGTGTACGTAAGTGGGGTCTTCAGGCCTGGTGAATTGTGACTGCTCGCCTAATGCTTTTGAAACAGACTGTGTCGGTTAGGATTTTATTTTCACCTTCGACAGAATACAGTCCACAAACTTACCTAGGATCGAACCTGCAACTCCCGCATGAGAGCTCAGCGTTCTTAACAGTTGGGCCAGCAGCTAAACCTTCTCTGCATCAACAATAATAATACAACAACAGCAGCAACAACAAAAACAGTTGCAACAATAAATTGAAAGTAAAATACACAAACAGAAAAGAATCTATCGCCTGTAAAAGTCGTCATTACGTTGCAACCAACAACAACAAAAAATGAGTTTATGCACCTGTCTAACCTGAATGATTTAACAAAGGAGAGAAAATCAATTTATTTACACCGAGTTTAAAGGCTGACAGTCCGAGGAAAGTTCCGCACGGAGGAATAACTCCATAGGCCCAGCCACGATTCCCTCCGATATTTGAATTCGTGAAACAGTTACACATGAACCGCATAACACAGCCAGAAAACGAACTCCGTAGTTCCAGCGACGACAGTCAAGGATCTGCGAATAATTGCACACGTAAACGCTGTAAGAAAACGAACCATCGACACACAAAGCGCCACTGGGACACCATAATAGATCTCTCATAGGTGCCCAGCTCTGTATAAAAACATGGCTACTGCCACAAATGAGACCGAGTATCCTCTTCCAATGTCGCAAACGGTCATTTCATCGACCGGATACGAAGGTGTCATCTATCTCTTTATATCCACAACTCAAGCTTCCCTATTGATGCGAAAAGCACAGATTACCAACCTTCTAATTTTCCCTGACGTTCAAAAATCTATAAATAAAATACTTAGTAATGTGGTTCAAGTTGCTGTATGTGTTTTCGGCGTGTTTTCAAACATTATAAACATTTTAGTCTTCTACAAAATTGGATTCGCGGACAGTGTGACAGTGGTGTTGTTTGGCCTTGCAATTTCTGATCTGGGCTATCTGTTTTTCAGCGTTGCCTCTCAGACACTCGACATCCTGGACGCCGCGGTTGGTCTACACCCATTCGAACCCCTTAAAAACCTAGCATTTCAAGTCCTCTGGTTCAACAATATGTTTTATGACATCACTATCATCCTTACAGTCTTCAACGCTGTTCAGAAATGCGCCTGCGTGGCGATTCCTTTGATATTCAAAAGCGTTTTTACAAAATCGCGATCGATTTTCATCGTTGGTTTCGTCTACGTGGGAATTTTTATCTACTATATTCCTACATTCGCTAATCCTGGAACAGCCTCATATTTTGACCCCTCTCTAAACTGGACAAGGCTGGGGAATTATTACCTACCAAACAACGAAACCGTAAATACAATATTCTATATTTTGAGCCGTATTCTGCTCCCGTTTGTTTCTCAAGCCGTCATTATATTTTGTATGGTCATTCTGACGGTAAAACTCAGAGCAACACTTAAATTTAGAAGAACCTTAAGTTTGCATCAAGGATTTGCAGAAGAAAACGAAAATGAAAGAGAAAGAAACAAAGCAAAGGGAAGCGGGAAAGAACTAAGAGCTATCCAAACGGTAACTTTAGTGTCAGCCATCTTTGTAGTCTGTAACTCACCAGACATTTTGATCACCTTGACCCGCTCGGTGTACCCAGAATTCAGTGACACAAGCAGCAGGTTTGAGAGCACCTACCGGATGTGTGGAGCCATCCAAGATGTCTTCGCCGTGACCAATTCAGCAGTGAATATTGTTGTCTATCTCAAGTATAACAATAAATATCGTCGGAGGTTTAAGGAGATCATCCAAGCAGTCGTGCGTCCTCAGACGAGACTTCGTCTTTAGACTATTCACATACTACATGTCCTTAATCTCTTCCTTGTGTAGAAAGCTATTTGAAGATCTTTTCTTACGCCAATAATTTCGAGAAATCTTCGATGCTTCCCCAGAACACTTCTTAGTGCTCCCTTACCCATTCCCCACCCTAAAAGGTGTTTTTAGAAAGTCACCAAAACCGGAGCCAGATGATTACCATATTATGGATAGAGTAGAGCAAATAATTTGGTGTTTTATTAATATCCTACCCTAAGCAGGGGAAATCCATAGGTCACGGGACAGTCTAATATTTCAGAGGGTGGTAGATAGGCTGCATGCAGTCAAGAAACTTGGCTGCATATAGTCGTGGGACCCAGGCTACACTCTCTCGTGGAACGTAGGCGGGTTGGGGTTAGAGCCAGTTCTAGATATTTTGGGGTCGTTAAAAGCATCAGAAAGCCGGGAAACCCAGTCTTACCATCCTCTAAATTGTTGGACTGTCCTGTGACTTCCTCTGGGGTAAGATATTTATAAGGGACCAATAATATTTCTTCGCATTAGAACAGCAACCATATATATACACAATTTAAGATTCGCGAATCAGACGTGTGCACATGTGGATTAGCACTTGAAATAACAGATCACGTCCTCGAAGGTTGTCCCAGAGGCAATATATCTAGAAAGAACTTTTGGCTAAGAGAAGCACTGGTGCAAGCCAAGTTTTACGGGTCACTGAGTGAATGACAAAAGACAGTAAAATTCATACTAGAGACAACATGGAAGATATTGATAATCTATTTCAAGCGAATGAGAAAAGAAGAAACATGTTTCGTGCCCACCGTCGTGCTGGTCGACCCCTGCACTTTCGAAGATCAACTAAACATCCTATTATTTAAAACACTGCAAAAGGGGAAGGGGAGTATCAAAGACTGCAAATCTTCAGATTCCGAGGACCCGATGAAAATCTTAAAAACAAATCGGATGAACTGTATTTCTAGTGGCGGATTACTTGTGTTAGCATTTCTGAGAGCTGCCTTGTGCATATAATGCGTGTGTATGCTACTGTAAACCGAGCGTTTCTTAACAAAAGTGTAATTAGCAAAAGGACGAAAATGGCTATTTACCGCTCTACTTATAAACCAGTCCTGGCCTACGGGTGTGAGTCATGGGCAATGACAACAGCTCACAGACGCCAGCTTCAGGCCTCATAAATGAGATATCTGAGAAAGATTGTACAGGTGACAAAAAGGGACAAAGTACGCAATCACACAATACGTCAAGATCTTGTTACCCAGTCCTTACTAACCCGAGTAGATAAGTCACAGTTAGATGGTTTCGACATGTATGCAGAATGGGAGAAAATCGGTCACCATGGCAGGCATGGGAGGCTAAGGACCAGGGAACCAGACCTCTAAAGCGACTCAGGTTGCGCTGGGAAGACAACATCCGACAGTCCCTCACTGACAGAGGACTGGAATGGAACAAAGCCAAAAAGAAAGCTGCTGCTAGAGACGTCTGGCGATCTCTTTGGCAAACCTCTACAATCCAAGGTAGAAGAGGAACGATTAGGTAAAAGTAAGTATGCTGCCGTATGTGCCGAGTCTGTAGTCTACTTCAATTTTCCAACAAGGGGCAGTGATGGCCATGAAGTGGGGCTTTCGTTGGTGCATGAATGGAGCAGCTACAATGGTTGCCCGTTGCTACAAAATAGGGACAGCGATTACCTGTTACTCCAAAGGCAAGATAGCACCAATACGTTCGGGACAATGCATGCTGCAGAAACTACCGGATGAGAAACACAGTGCTCTGTATGAGATTTCCTCGTAGACCAGATGTCAGCCAAGACTAAGGGCCTGGTTTGCCTGCCATAACATTAGGATGTTAGATTACCTGCTCTGGCCTTGCTCTTAAACTTACCCTGTACAAAAAGGCGGCTTTAAATGTCTTAGGGTTTAAAGCGCCCATGCAAAATTGACTAAACCACTACAGTCAGTTCAAGAACTTGTGCTCAACTTTAAAAATCCGTAACTCAGTAACCACTCAGTTGTTGAAATTGGCATGCAACCTGTTAATAAACATGGCCTTGAAAGAATATTTTATATGCATATATATAAACGACATTAGTCTCCCGTGAGTTGTGGATTTTCTATTGTATGAAGGAAAGGCTATCGAAATAATCAGCACGCATAGATGCACATATAAACTGATTTCTAAACAGTCTCTACGAGTGTTTCAGATACTGTATGAGTAAGTGACATTTAACCTCACTAGAACTGCACAATGAGAGATAAAAATCCGGTGACACAAAGTGCCACCATTTAGTTGAGCAACCCCGTTCAGCCGTTATTTGCTTGTCTTGTTTGTTCGTGTAAGAGTTTTGTATGCTGCTCGTATTTTTGTAAGTCTGTGGTACACTCCTTGCTGTTTGTAGGTGTAATTGTGGTGTTGTGGACAAATGCGTTTTAAACAAGTTTATTTTAAAAAAAATTCAAAAGGGGAAAGGTAAAAGGGATTGGGAAGGGCGGGAAGGGGGGGGGGGGGGGGGGGGGGGAGAAGAAGGAAATCCACCCATTTTCCAGCTTCCTGGATCCTTGGGACTACAGAATATTGCCGGTCTACAGAACGATTCAGAGGGGTGAATACTTCCTCATGATGGTGACGTATCCAGGTATGAGGCGCAGCTGTTTGTCGCCAGGTACTGCTAGGGAGCGCCCGCACTCTATGCACTCGAGGTCAGCTTTAGATTTGAAGGTGTATGTGTTATTACAGTACAACCGTCACATCAGACATCCCTAAAGCACGGGTTGTTGTTCTCTTTCTTGAAAGCTTTTTTCTTTTGTTGGGCAGTCGTCGTGGTGTAGCGGCTAGACGCTCGCGTGTGGATCGGAAGGTCGTGGCAATTTTTCGTCTTTTTGAAGCCCCACCCTAACTCTTACCAGGGGCCGCATTATAGCTCGTCAAAAAATATTGCATAATGTCTGGACGCGGTTTCCGGGACCTCTCCACGGGGGATCCTCATCCACATGGTGGCACTTTGTGCCATCGGGTGTGTATCGCTTGTGTGATGTCCTAGTAGGGTATAATGTACTACTACTATTACCCGAGAAAGGTGGTTTTCCGACTTTTGTGGGCTTTTAATGACAGTGGCCAATATGCGAATTTAAAAGATACGGTACTGGCTGCAACAACGTAGTCTGTAAAAAAAAAAAAACGATTATTTTGTGTCCTTGTGAGCTCATAATAAATTATGAAGGTGCGGTTTGCTATATGTAGCTATTTCTAAGGGTAGAATTTTAGAGAATTATAAAGATGCGTTTGTTTCTTTAAAATATGTTGAGAGTAAAACATGTCATTTTTGAATGATTTTTTTTTTTCGGGTCGAAAGAGCTACATCCTCAAACTCACAACACCATTCTGAAGGTAAATACATGTAGTTCATACGGGTCATTCAGTGTCACATTTTCAGATAGCATTTCGCATTTCAAACCAGACTGTTATTGCTACTATAGGAATTGAAACTCTGCGCTTGCTGTCCAGATGGGAACGGGGCGCTTATGTGAATGTGCCGAGTTCTGACATTAGTTAGTTAGTCTTTCCTCTTGTGTCGAGTGCGGCACATAGGGCAGAGGTCATGACTCTCCATGCATGGCGGTTCGTTGCAATCTGTTGTAGGTCTTGGATGTTTGAGTGGCCCATGAGCGAGCCTTTCCTGATGATAGTTCTACGTAGAGTTTCCCTTGGTCTTCCACGAGATCTTTTCCCCTGTGGTGTCCAAATGAGGGCTTGGTAAGGAAGTCTTGATTTATCCATTCTATGGGCGTGGCCGACATAGTTCCAGCGGCGTTTTCGTATAAAATTAGATACGTGCTCGTGCCTGGATTCTTGCCTTATTTGTGACATGTTCTGACATGCTGATTCTTAATTTAAGAATCAACATTCAACTCGACCCAGTGAGTTGATTTTCTCGCCTTGCAACATATCCTCTAAGTCAGTCATTCAGGCAGCAGTCTGTAGTTAGAAAAACTGTGTGCTGCACCCTACAATGAAGATTGGCTACAGCACCAACTGCTGCCTTTGGGAATGTTATGTTGAATTAGAAATCAACATCACTGCACTTGGGACACCCCTTTAAGCGCTCCATGCCCATCTTCAGCAGCAAGCGAAGACTTCCAGTAACTGTCTGATTGTATACCCGTCTCGCCTTTAACCTGAGTGTAGAACGCCGGCCAGATCTCAAAGTAACTCCTTGCAGCGCCATTCTCCCCAGGCCGTAATGATCTATCTGTGCCTTTGCACGGTTTAATCGCCCCAAAACAGCCTTCAAAATATCCAGCTTTTATACATCAGTTTGTAAATGAAATCACAGCAACCTGTCACCAGCACGTTCTAATACCCTACATGCCGATGACTTTGCAGTTTGGACAGCCTCTGAATGCACTACCACAGCCCCATTTCTGTTACAGAAAACTGTGGAAAATGTAGAAGCCTGGACCGAAAAGTGGGGTAAAAAGCTAAATAATTCAAAAACCACAGCATCACTTTTCTCTCTCTCCCCCAAAAAAAGAAAAAATCGAAATTTGGATAAACAACCCAGCTCATTCCACAGACTGACACACCTACCTTTCTTGGCGTTACAATTGATTTGCGACTAACATGGAAGTCACATGTAGAAGCACTACAGGGAAAGCATTCAAGAAGCTTGCAGTGATGAAAAAATTAGCGGGTACCACATGGGGCGCTAACTCCAGAATTTTAAAACAAGTATATACTGGAGCAGTCAGGCCAGTTATGGAATATGCCTCCACTGCATGGGCTGCAGCAGCCAAGACAACAATGGGAAAACTGGACAAGGTTCAGAATATGGGATTAAGGATTGTTCTCGGAGCCATGAAAACCACCCCCATCAGAGAGATAGAGAAAATAGCAGATACTGAACCACTCGAACTCAGAAGACAATACAAAACTCTTTTACAGTATGAGAAATTAAAAAGACTTCAAAGTCACCCACTGCATTTTAAATTTCAAGAGAG